ATATATATATATATATATATATATATATATATATATATATATATAATTTGTACATTATGTGCATTAGTAAACCTTTAAATATTACATAAATATATATAAGTTTGCAATCCAACAATTATAACATGATATTTTTTAGATTTCTTCCTAATTTGATTACCAACACACCAGAGAATTTTTTACAATTCGAAGATTTTCCATCTATACCATTATTGATGGGAGTTATGAATAACGAAGTAGGAGGGGCAATTTTTGGAGATTATAAAACCGAAATTGAAAATAAATTACGTACCGTTCCAGATTTCTTAAATAAATATCTTATACCAACTCTACAAAATACTATCTCGAATTTTGGAAATAAATCGCATTCTATAACAGAATCTTTTAGCAGATATTTCAATGTCTTTAACACAGGAAATAATTCTGCTCAAATCGCTAAAATAGCAGAAGCTATGGGAGATACTTTATATAACGTCCCCGCTTTCCTTACAGTTAATTATTGGGCTAAAAAAAGCGAGGCTTTTCTATACAGTTTCGATCATAAAAGAAAACGAAATTGCAATAACAATTTTTTAGCAGGATTGCCTATAGTTAAAGCGAGACATGCAGATGGTATGCATCTAAAATAATTTTTTAATTATATCTTTTAATTATTAATGTTTTTAATTATATTTGCAGATATACCAAGTCACGGTGATGATCTTGGATATATTTTTAAGGAAAATACTATTACCGGGGAATCAGTACAATGTGATGAAGAATCAAATGAGGAAAATGAACGAGTGGAAAATGTATTTACGAATTTGATAGCCGAATTTGCTAGAAGCGGAACACCTAATATAACAGTTTCATCTCAAGGTGATAGTTTATTCTCAAATCTACTTCCAAAATTTTCTAGCAAAACCAATCCATTTATTAGTATTACATCAACTCCTCGTATAATGGAACAATTCAGGTAATTTAATTCCTGATAATGTGTAATGATTAAATAAGTAAATTACAAATTGTGTTGTATATTTTTATATACCATTTTAGATACTGTGAAATAGGATTATGGACGGGTCTTGCAGAACGATTGAAATCGAATACGTGCAATTTTCTCAAAAATACTATAAATATTGTGGAACATGAAGCTCAAAAAGTGAAAAACATTGTTACAAATCCTGTTAAAACTGAAGATAGAATTGCAGATGTTATGCCAAATTTTACTGTTTTAAAAAACGAAACAAAAGTCCCAAAAATTGATGATTTAATGAAAAATACAAAATATAAGACACAAAAGTCTATGTCTCGAAGCATGTTTCACTTATAATTTAGACATATAATTTACAAATATAATGTTGAAATATTATATTTTGAAATTAAAATATATTTACATATATTTGATATATGAAAAGTATAAAATAACAATACATTTATCTTGAATTTAAAATATTCCAAACGAATATAATTAATTACCATTTTTTGGTATATCCTGAAATAATTGCAATATTTCTTCTTCCTCTTTTTCTTTTTCTTGTGTTAGATGTTGTTCATTTAGATCAGATATTTTAGAATTGATATCTGAATTAGGATTATCTTCTGTTGCATCTATTGTTTCAACGCAAATATCAGTGTCAGTTTGTTTAATAATGTCCAGTGGTGATGTTGATTGCGGAATTTCTGTATCAGTCACAACTAGTATTGAAGTAGTTTCATTTATTGGCGTGTCACAAACTTCAACTTCAATATTTTTATTTTGTATTGTGACTGTCATTTGTTTTTTTATCGTATTATTCTCTTTTTCTATATCTTGATTCGTTCGTGTAATATGAAGTTTATCTTCTGTACTATTTTGTGTTCTAGGTTCAACAGTTTCGCTAGAATTTGTAACTTTTAATTTTTTACTTGGCAAAGGTTCTACATCTTCATTTGCAACAATTTCAACAGTGGGTGAAACTACATTTTCCACTGTATTATTTTCTTGCACGACTTGTTCGTCAGTAATAAATTCTTTTTGTATAGTCCTGAAAAATAAATATAATTTTCATTTAAAATCTAAATTTTTCAATATTGATATTACTATTTCTAAGTAAATATATGAATTCTATACTTACTCTACTTGAGTTAGTTGAATTGATGGAGCATGAGGATGTATGATTTTTTCAAGTTCTGCCAATGCCACTTTAGCTTCTTGAATAATATGTAAATTATTATCATTCAAAGCCATTTCAAATAATTCTAGAGAATATTGCGTAGGTAAAGGTGATAAAGAATGTGGATTCATTTGTAAAGCTCTTAAAACTCTGAATAATAATAAACGACACTCAGGATATTTTTTATAAAATCTTTGGTCAGTTGCACTTAAATAGCAGTCATACAACAAAGGTATTATAGTATTTTGTACAGTCTAAAAGAAGATATAATTATTATATCCAGCATAAAACCCTATAATGAAATGTGAAAATTAAAATTTTACCTTAAAAAATGTTTGTTTCAGAAGAGTCCCACTATTAAAAAATATATTTTGTAATATATCCAGAGCCACTTTACATACATCTGTATCTAGATAATGTTCTTTACTAGAACCAATTTCATTATTCAAATACGTACCCTTCTGATACTGACTATTTCGGAGACGTTTTAACGCTCTTTTTGATAAATTTTGTGTTTTTTGAAGCTATGACAATAATTTATAAATTAAAAAAATATTTATAAAATTTTTATTATATCAAAATAAAATAAAATCTTGTTATACTTACAGTCAGTAAAACACGATCTTTCTCTGGTACTATATCTTTTAATATAGAAGAAAGATATTCATTTGCAACTGTTTCTATACCAGATAACGAATTAGTATTCATTAACCAAGAGTTTAGACATTTATAAGCAGATATTCTTACATTTCTAAATGGTTTGTTTCCACTAATTGTTATTTGGTTTTCTAAAGCATTTTCTGTCCATTGTAGTGTTTGAAGAAACAGTTGCAATATTATTGACCCAAATGGTATTAATTGTTCTTTAAATCTATATATTTTGAATTCATATAATTTCACCATTTTAAGTATAGTTTATTATTTTAAAATTATGATATTCTTACCCATTTATTAGCGCATCCAAAATACCAAATAAACCAATGTGTAGTTTTGGTAAAATAAGATATAAAATCTGTTCTCTAACAGAATTTTGATTCTGTATATTTGATGGTTGTATTGCTAGTCCTCTACATAAAACCTTCAAAATTTCATGGGGTAATACTGAATTTTTTTTATCAAATCCACTGTAAAATTGAAATTATTTAAATAATTTCCTTTTAATATATTATACAAACTGATATTTTTAAATTATTCTCTTACCGCAACATAAATGATAAATAAGTACACAAATTCAAAAATCTTTGTTTTTGTGTAAAATAGAATTGAACAATATTTTCTTGAGATATACTAGGTAATTCCAGTTTATCCCATATGCTCACATTTTCTAATTCTATTAAATCAGAAAATAATTCATCCATTATTACATGTAAATTATTACAAATAAGTGCATGATGATATGTTGTATTAGTATAATTTGGTTTCAAAGGAGGAGGTTTAAATGAACGTTCTGTTGCTTTTACTAAAAAAGTAAAACATTTTGCACTTGAGTTAACTAGATTTTCTTGAGAAGAATCTACTTGCAACAGTATAATCTTCTTTATAGAAACCTGTAATATTAAAATATTTGATAATAAGTAAATATAACTATACATTATTAATATTCTGTAATAGTGAAAAAGATTCTATACCTGGAAACGTTCACAAACTTCTGGATATTGATGTAGTAGTACTGCAATTAAATAATATATTGGACCACATTTTTTTTCTGTATTCAAATTACTAATTATGTTAATAAGTTGTTTTATATTTTGCATAGATACTTGTTTCTGTATGTCTGAAATATCTTTCGACTTAATGATCAAATGTCCAAGAACTTTACAAGAGATAGATAATTCTTGCGAGTTACTATGAACACTTTCTAATACTTGAGTAGCTTTTGATATCCATAGTATGCAATATTTCGAAAAAACATCATTCGAGCATTGTGGCAAAATTTTATCCAAAATTAATAACCCATTATATCGAGACTGTGATTGATTTAAACAAGTATTTACAATTGATATAATGGCACTTTGTGCTTTATCAACCTGAACATAAAAATAATATAATATTTGACAAAAAGTGGTACTTTTTTTCAATTATAAGGTTACTTTCAAAAATATAATTTTACCTCTTCTATACTAAATGGTATATCTCCATTAAAACATATTAAGTGTTGTAAAAATTCTTTATATTCTTTTGAATCATGATCAAAAAAATTAATTAATTCCATTATTGTTGTCATTTTATTTTTATGACGGTCCACGTGTTTTCAACAAATTCAAAAGTGAGGTTATCTGTAAGCTGTAAGTATGTATGTATAACTGAAGTATGTACGTATGTGCAGCAAATATATATGAAAATTATATATACCTAACATAATTCAAGTTTATCAAAAAAAAAAAATTAGTTTTAAGTAAAGAAATAATTATATACTTAAAAAATATATCATAGTTTTACAACATAAATATGTATATCAAATTACGGAAAAAATATTTTTGTATCTTAATTGAAACATAAAATAAAAATTAATACGTTATTATTTTATGCGTCGTTACTTTATCATAAAATTAAATTTAACATAAAAGTATATAGCTTTATATATTTGAATATTGCATACAATTTTTGCTACATTTACACATTACGAAACTTAATTAAATTGCAAAGTGATTCATTTTGAAAAGATTTAAAATTTCATATTTATATTGAATATCATTATTATATCATTTACTCATAATTTATATACAATTATTAATATATATTTGTATATAACACAAATTTATATATAATTATCATATCATTTATTTACATTTGGCTTCATTTGTTTAAATGTGCTACTGTATTTATGCTGGAAATCAGCATAAATCGCGCGCTTACAATTAGAAGTAGCTAGGGCGTAATAAACGCAGAGATTCTTTTACGCAACACGATTGACCTCAATCGTAAAAGGAATTATTATGTAATTTTGCAGTGTACTCGGTGATGACGATTCAAATATTTCTTCTCATGTTATGAATGCATACGATCACGCGAACCATTTGGTACTTTTTACATTAATCTCAAGACTGAAAGTTTGCTTTTTGTTGCAACAAGACACATCTTTTATGTAAAATACATTTTTTAAATGTTCCTCAAATTTAAATAATTAATTAATCAATTAATTAAACAAAATAATTAATTAATTTTTAGTCTAATTCTATCAAAAAATCGAATATTTTCTAATATTAATTCTACAATTATTAATTTCAGAACTGTTCCATTAATTAATTTTTAGTAAATACAAATCAAAATATAAACCAAAAATATATTTTATAGTATAGTATTAAAAAATTTTATCGTTGTATCATGGATGAACTGAAATGTAAAAATATTCTAAAAAAGAATCGTTTATAGTTAAAATGAAAAGAAAAGAATAGGATGAAGGTAGATTGCAGATAAAATAAGCGAAAAAATAAAAATAAATTTTAATTATGTGTTCATTATTGAGGAGGAAATAATAATTTAAAAAAAAATTTATATTTTCTATATTTATCCATAGATCTATATTTTTATATTAATTTTCATAGGTACTAAAATATATAATTTGTGTAATTAAAAAATTATTTAAAGAACAATTATTATTAGTCAAGTCTTTTATTATTTCTTTTGAAATAAAAAGTTAAGAAATGGTTTATTTTCGACCAGAGATATCACTTTCAATTTTAATACATACATTTATTGTACATTTAATATACACAAATAAGTTCTATAAGAATGCAATAAAAATGAATCTGCCATGACTATCCATAACGAATAAAGCATTTTATTCTGAAATTCAAATACGCGTATTTATTTATCATGAAAACTATAATTAATTAACCGAAATTAATATTTCATTTATTAATATTTCATTTATAGTATTCGAGAATATTTAATTTCTTTTAATTTTGTAGTCAACCGCTAAATTGAACAGCAGAAAAAATATCGAACTATTTACAAACCTGTGTCACCATACCGTTATTCATATGGGCTCGTATCCTCATTACTTCAACTTCTTATATGGTTTGTATATGTACTTACATGTACAGTGGGTCATGAAAATAAACGTTCGAACATTGGGGTACATTTGTAACTTTTAATAGGTGAACATATGTAAAATATATGTTAAATCAAAGATAATCTATCTATCTGTCAGCAGGGAATGAAGTTTCGAGATTATATTGTTAGTAAAATTATAAAATAATACATATATATTTGTAGTGCGTTTGTTCACGAATCATCAGAAAATGCAGATAAATAGTTTAAAACGCATATTCTATATGTATAATGGATTATCATTTCGTTAAAAATAAAGTTTTAATAACAGATTTAATCTTTCGACATTTTATAAAACAGTTTTTTTTAACATTGAAATTCCATCAACAAATGTCGAATTTCCAATATTATTGGCTGCCATACATATCCTTTACCATAATAGAATCACTTCTACACTTTTTATTTTGTAACGTTGTATTTTCAGGAATATGAACTTCACTCATATCTTCATTGTTCAAGAATAATTGAAAATAGTTCTAATACAACAAATACTATTTAATAATGTTACATGCAATATCTAAAGTTTAAATTAGTAGTTATTTTATTTGCAAATGTTACTTAATTTGAAATTTTTCATTATTCATTATAAATGTTATGTAAATGATTATTCACTCTTAACATAAAATAAAGTTATTTGTAAAAAAAATATATCCAATAAGTTAAGTCAAGTATTATTTCTTATTATTTTTCCAAGAAACTGATTAATCAATGTCTTACTTACGGTTAGCATCAATTAAATTTGCAAATCATTCTATTTACAGTGAAGATTCATACTAAACATCGTTCACCTTCAAATGCTTAGATATTTGTATGTAATTGATGATCTGCAACGTACCATAAATACTATATATTATTATTTGATGATATATTTACATATATCATTAAATTATTTTTGTATTCTAATATAATTTTGAGACTTACACGTATATCATATTTTTCCAGTTATCTTTCCAACGAATCAATATAATATCTTATTAATAGCACACGTCAGTATGTTTCGTCTCAATGCATTAGCAAAAAAAAAAAAGAAATGGCAAAATATAGAAGTGAAGAAGGTGGTGCAAAAGTGTAAACAATTAGAAGAACGAAATTGCGAGACATTGAGAAGCGACAGTGGCAAGACAAAAATATAATCGCAGGTGCTTACAAGCGGCAGTAAGTAGAAAAAGAAAAAGGGGACCGATGGGAAACAAGGATATTTCAATTACATTCACGTGTGTACAGAGAGAGGTTACTTACAGATAGGTGTAGAATTGCGGTGAGCCCTAACGCCTACCGACCATCCTTCTACACGATCAGGACAGTGAGGTCTTCCCCCTCCTGTTGATTCCGCCCTTCCTCCCTCTACCGGGCATCCTACGTCCTTCCTCTCGTCGTCGAGGTATCTCGCACTCGTTCTTCGGATCAGTTCCCCTACCTACCGGTGTCCAGTTATGTCGCGGAGATCGTTGCTCGGGCGGCAATTTGTTTGGACTTTTGTTTCGCGAGACAACATCCCGCAGGATTGTCCGTTTCGATAAAGAACCGATACGGGCCGTGTCACGTTGTTATCGATCGTGATCGTGCAGTGATCGTGAAGTCGGGCTACGCTCTGTCGGTTCTCGCCGATTTTTCGATAACTGTCCAAGTCCATTTACATTCCAGACCCACGCGTGCGTATATATTCACGCAGGATCTGGCGAACACACTTGAGACACACGGCTGAGACGTGAAAATCCCGGCACCAACGGCAGTGGCGATCTCCGGGATTTTTAGCTGGAATTTTTCTACCCATCGAGTCAGGAATGCGGCGCGAATCGTTAGCGGAAAATGGACATTAAAGAGGTACGTAAATATAGTGGAATAGCGGAATCGGATCTGTGTGTATTGGCACACAGCCATATTGAAAAGGGTCAGTTCCCTGAAGGTGGTCGCCGTGACAGTTAGGAAATAGTGTTTCGTTGCGCGATTCGTTTTCTGCCGTTAGTGAGCTCGTTGCTTCCTTTACGGTCCGTGAGAGAGCGGACCCACCTTCTGACAGGTGGAATGCGGGGACCTAACATAGCCGTGGGGCCCGACAATCGCGATCGCAGCGACGCGAAGCGACTTGTTCAGGTATGTGTATGCCTTTGCTTTGCCCGCGACTCTTGTCTTTTGCCTTTCATTTCCTTTCCTTTCTTTCCTTTCGTTGCATTTCTCATTCCTTCGCGTTTATCGCGCAAGCCTCGAATTTTTCTCGAATTATCGGTTTTAATAAATTTAATAATATATTTGGGTTGCTCGAAGAATACGGAGCAAAATTTAAGAATTTAATTCTTGACATTTTGACTGTCGTGTGAAAATCATATTATGTCTAATTAATTTCTAATTCAAAAATTAATTTTGACGAACTACTATGGTATATAGTAAACGTACTCATTTTATTTAAATCATTCTAAATATATTGATAGAAATCGAAACACCGGTCAGTGATGATAGCAGTCGACGTGTTGGTATCATTTAATTTAGAATTAAATTATTCAGTTGTTTAAATCAAATTTTTAATTTTTGACAGGGAAATTTTAACAAAAGTAGGATTTTTAATACGGTTGAATTTTATTATACTCTAGCACGGAGAATATAAAATACGAAATAAAGTTAAATACTCTGAATCTTAGTACATAATTAATTAACCTAACCTAAATTAATATAGCAATCTATGACTCAATGATACTATTTGAGGGTGAAAGATATGGGCGTTCTTATAGAACAATCGTTTTAGAATTTTATTGTTAATTTACTATTCGTATTTTATTAAATAGTATATACATATATCGTTTCTTCAGGAATTGTTTTACCATTTAATGAATTTGTCACCACTACTCTGAATATGTAATTCGTTTCCAATAATGATTTTTTTAAAACAGTTATATTATAATTATACTCTGTATCTAGTAGTATAATTATTTATAATTTATTTATACAATGAAAGTAGATTTTAAAACACGATAATATAAAGAAGATTCATCGAATTTTAATCAACAAATAAAGTATAAAAAATATAATTAT